CTTTCCTTTTTCTCTCTTTTTGTATCTTCCTCTTCCTTCAGCCCTTTGTTTTCTAATAACCTTTCCACTCTCACAACTTCATCACGCACAGCTATCTTTTGTTGAGGGGACGGCTCACTCTCCAGTATCTTTTGTTGAAGGGACAGCTCACTCTCCACTTTATCACTTTTATCTATCTCTCTTTCACAACAGGTAAGTTTTATCTCTTTTCTCTATCTCTCTTTCACAACAGGTAAGTTTTTCTACACACTACCAAAGGGAATGGTGCTATTTTTGGTGGCCCCATGTTTGTCTTAATGCAGCATTCCACCTACGGCAGGAGAGGTAGATATTGCCCAGAATAACATAATGACTGTTTGGCTGAAATGAGACTTCAGTCTGAGTGGCTCTTAATTTGGATCTCATTCCCACCCACCAAACCCATGGAGCACTGACAAATTAAAAATTCATTTGAATTCTTTCCCCTCTATGCTTACATTTTCCCAGCAGCTAATTGTTTTGACTATGGAGTTAGATCATTAGCAACAGAATCATCAACTGGCTGCAGTTCTGTTCACACACCTGGTAGCTCTAGTGACAAGGATGAGCAGCCCAGGTGTCACCAAGGGCAGAATTGGGAAGCAACAGGATAGCAGAGGTCTAATTAAGGGCAGGGATTGGCCAATGGGATCCTCATTACTGAAGATAATGCACTGGTGAGAAAGAACACAGCTTGACTATCAGAAGAACTGGCTTGCCCTCATATGGCACTGGCTGTTAGGAAAAACATCATTACGCTTGTAAATGGAACAAATGTAATCAGGAAGAAACCAAGATTAAGCCAGTATGAAATTCCTCAAGGCCATTTTGCAGCTGTCTCTTTGGGAGAAAACCTGTAACACATCTTGTTGGGGGAGAAGATGGGGGGCATAAAATACCCACCAAGTTAATGCTGCTGTGCAGTCTAATTTATTCCAAGAACTTCTGTCGTAATCCAAGGGGAAAGCCATAAAACGGATTCAAAAGCCATATAATATTGCACTTGTGAAATGTCTTCTGCATCACTTCTTCTGAAGCTACATAACCTGTTTATCTCTTTGCTTTCATACACATATAGTCTCTATTCTAAATTTCATAAAACAATATTAGCACAAACTGCCTGGAATGAAATGAAGTACAGTATTATAGGACTCAGATTTTCATTACAGCATCCTAGTTTAAAGTATAAATAGCACAACAACCAGCACCACTTTTGAACTGCAGAGCTGGAAGGCACCCTGTGGATCATCAAGTCCAGCCCCTCTCAAAGAGGCCCAGTGGGGAATTGAACTCCCAACCTCTGCCTCCACAGCTAGAGACCTAAGTCACCGAGCATATGCATAAACTCCCCTCTTATGCAAAGCTAAGTGCAGGGAGGTGGTGCAATTGACAAGTTTTGTCAGTGTTGTTTGTTCCTGCATTTGGCGTATTTGTTTATTTTTAACATCAAGGCCTTTCTAATCAATATATGAAGAAATCTGAGAATTTTGTTAAGTTGTTCTCTAAACAAAACAAAAAAACAGAGTTGTTCACCATCTGCTTTGGCTAATTTATGTTGGCACAGGAATTGCCAGCACGGAGAGGAGCATACAGTGTCCTGCCTGCTATGAAGCTATTAAAGATGAGGAGCCTCTCCTCTTAGTGCGACGCCATAAACATGATCAAACCAACAGAGATTCAGAAATCATAATTTCCCAAGCTAAACACTCAGAGCCTTCTGCCTAGATGTCCAAATCTTCAGTTTCACTTCTTGCCACCTTAAAAAAAACCCACCTAATTCTGAATTATTCATTTCAACTTGAAAACTTTGTTAGTCTTGTGTCCGACAAATAAACCACCTGACCTATCCCTGTGAAGATGGATCAGAGTTGATACACCAGTCTCTCTCTTGAAGCTGACTTGAGCAGTTACTACACAGTGACTGTGTAGTAGAAGGATGACTAAAGGAGGGGGGGGGATATCTCTGGACCAAGTCCTCTTTCAAGATCTTCACCCAGCTATGCTTTTATGATTACTGAATGATCAACATATATCTCCTGTATGTCTAAAAATCAGAATTAAAGAATATAAAGAATAACAAATAACATAACAAAGTTAATAGTGAGCATCCATTACAATGAACAGTAAAATCAGAACAGCTTACATATCTCCTCCAACTTCATTGTTCACCAAAATTTAAATTTTTCAGCATAATCTAATTACATTTGTAAGCCATTTCCAACATCCAGAAAAGACATTACATGTACCTTTGTGGTGGCTGTTGTGTGTTATCAAGAACTGACTTACAGCAACCCTAATAGGCTTTCAACTATCAAGAACTGACTTACAGCAACCCTAACAGGCTTTCAACATGAGCTATTTATTGTATTGTATTTTATACTGCCCATCTGGCTACCACATGAGCTATTTATTGTGTTGTATTTTATACTGCCCATCTGGCTACCAAGGCCACTATCAGTCCCCTCCCCCAGTGAGTTTCCATGGCTGAGCAAGGGGTTGAAACACTGGTCTCCAGAATTTTAATCTGTCTCATCCACTACATCATACTGGGTTTTCTAAACCCCTAATAGAAGCTTCAAAACATGTTAGTGCCTCTTCCTATGAGATTTCAGCATGCCTAAACTTTTCCTTTTTTGCTCCCTGAGGCATGAAGACAGACTAGAAAACACATAACAATAAAATGTGAGATCTATCCATCTTCCAAAGTGTATTTGTTGATCTTTGCATGGTTTTGTGCATGAAATAAATAGGGGGAGTTTGATTCTCTTCACATTCCTGCTCAGGTGATATTGGAGTGTTCTATTTTATGTTATTCTTCAGGTAAACCATCTGACAGAGAAGTGTGACAAAGAGATAGGGTGATGCAAGGAGGAAACAGGAAACAGAGATGATTTATGTTTCCTGTTCACTGCATTTTCCTGACCAAGTTTCTAAAATAGTTGAAGATACAGTATGTGAGGTTGCTGTTTAAAGGAGGAAAATGTGAATTCCACTGGAAGCCTTCAAAGCCTTTATTCTATGTTAAAGCTATTCCCTTGATTTATAGCCATTTTAAGTTACTATTAGCATTGGTAACCTTGCAAATATCTTCTGCTCCTCCTTTAGCAGATCTAGCTAGTATTTCAAGATGTCTGTGATTTTCGAAACCTAGGTAAAATGTAACAAGAGTCTTTCTTCCAAGCTTCATTTCTTGCCAACTTTAATTTTCAACTCAGTACAACCTTATCTTTCCTGTACGGCATTCACTGGAATTCTCAACCTTTGGTCTTTTGTGAAATGTCAGTTTCAATAACTTCATTTAGAGTTCTTACATAGTAATGCAAAGGTGGTAGTGTTTTAAAAATGTCCTGGTGGGCAAGCTCTGATCTTCCACCAGTCTGTAATTTTGCAATGTATACAATATTAGTGGACCTCTGTTCAAAATATTACAAATGCAGCTGTTCTTGTTACGTTTCTTGGTGGTTTGGGGTTTTTTCCCCATATAAGATTAACAGAAGCAGAAGACATCAAGAAGAGTCAAAATATTACGAATGCAGCTGTTCTTGTTATGTTTCATGGTGGTTTGGGGGTTTTTCCCCCCATATAAGATTAAAGCAACATTATAAATTATTTGAGGCAGGGACTTTTGTTTTTTCACCCTTCGGGATTAGGAAGTCTGCAGAGCACCGTATGTAGAGATGGTACACATGGCAATGGCACGTGTATTGTTAAGTGCTATATCTTAACCTAGTCATGCTTAGAGTATAGCTCTGTCAAAATCAATTGCGTAAGTTACTCGTGACTAATGTAAATCCCATTGGTTTCAATGTGTTAAGTATGACCTGTGGATCCAGGTCAGTTACCACACCTAAAATGAGGTGGTCAAGGTGTGGCAGATTCCCCTGCCTCATTCCCTGATATTGGCATCATTAGTATCTTGGCTCACTCAGTTCCCTCACATAGCTATCATTATTATCTCCTGCAAGAGAGAAAGAGATTCAGGTTAAGAATGAGCAAAAACAAAAAAACAGGAAGTTACCATGGCAAAAAGGAAACTTAGTCAGAAGGCTAGTCCAGAGTTCTGCACTGCGTATACTGATCAAAGGCAGCTCCTGTGAGACCTTAGACTGGATCATCTCCCAGGCCACCCACTCTGGAGTTGCCATGCTCTGCTGCTAAATTGTGTCCCCTCCCTTAAGGAGTCTCATCCTCTTTAATTACTTGTGAAAACAAACTGATTTTTACTTGCCATTCCATTTGGGTATCTTTGGAACTAGCTAATTGCACTGCGGTTGTAAAGATGTCCTGATGTTGAGGACTAGCAGGTTGTTGTTTTAAATCACTTCAGATAATTTTTTTTCTGAGCAAGAGTTAGGGTAACAAGACTCCAGCATCTTTGGGGGGGTGAGGCTTCTCTTAGAAACAAGAATCGAGGAATTGGGCCAATTGATTTCAAAACTAACAACGATGGCAATAATAGGTACTTAGGCTGCCTGGCCATTTGTGTGTCCTTTCCGATTGCACTGTTCTTTGTTCCCTGATGTTTAATAGGCCCTTTCCTTTCTCTCATAATGAGTTCTCGGAGGTGTGCTAATGAACAGTAGCCATGGCTAGGCAGGCTGTGTGTCTGTGTGTGTCATGTCACTTCTCGTTTGTGTCCCCATTGTGCTTCCTGTTGCGCTAAACAATGGTCACTGCAGATAATTTAATTAAATGATGCACATAGATCTAAAATGCGGAGTCCTCGTGTGTGGACTGGGATATTTTTAGCTGTGCTGAAGTTTGAATTGCGTATGCATCAATACCTGTTATCCGCATTTTGCAGTGTAGCCGGCCTGAAGTGCTTTTGACTCATCCCTTGATTCCTGGCATCATCATGCTGCCTACAAAACAACATTCCCCAGAAACATGCTGTCAGGTGCTCCTCTTTTGCCATAAAACAACCTTGGGTATCCCCCCGAACCTTTCACTAATGCTCCCCCCCACCTCTCTTTTCCCCCTAGGATATAATTGGAAAAGCACTGCGGTATATTGGAACATATGGAGAGCTCAGTAATACTGAACAAGTTGTGGCTCTGATTGATGAGGAAATGTGTATCAACTGTGGCAAATGCTACATGACCTGTAATGATGCTGGCTACCAGGTAAGGGCACCATTGTAATTAGCAAAGAGGCACTGTGAGTTATCTTTTCGCTGCTGAGGCAGAAGGAAGCCACTGTCTCTTGATGTGGGGGGGGGGGGAAGGAGATTTGCAAGATACTGGAAATTAACACTGGCACACTCCCAGGTAGAGACTGCATGAACTGTGTCTGATCCATTCGCTCAGGTTGTCAATAAGATAGGCTTCTTGGAGACTGGGGATGCGCAGAGCAGCACACAGAGCACTTCCCCACTGCCTAGTTCTTCCTACTGCGTACAGCTATGATTGAGCTGCTATGTTTCTATCAACAGTACATGGTAAAAATGAAATCTTGCTAATGGCACAGCTCACAATGCCATGATGATTCCCTGTGAATAAACATCCATTACGAAAACTCTGGTAGATTTAAGGGATGCAGTGACAGCTTCAAGGAACTCTCAGCCCTCACAATAAACCTTTGTTTATCAGTCCTGCTGTTCAGTACTAGAGGACCCTTTCAAGTCCTAACTGGAAAGAAAGTTAATGAGATAAATACAGTGTTTATTCTCAAGTAGAGTACAGCCATGATGTCAGTGGGAGTTTGAGAGTCAGTGTTATCAGTTACAGTTTCAAAGCCCACCCAAAAGAAGTTGATTACCCTTACAGTTCCATTTTTTTTTAAAAAAAGTAACTTGCTACCTGGTTTTTCAAATATATTATATTTATATTTGCCGGGTAGGTGGGGGGGCTCGTCAGCCATGGAAGGCAGCTCATCTAGGAGAAGGAAAACCTTACAGTTCCAATTTTTTAAAAAAAGTAACTTGCTACCTAGTTTTTCAAATGTATTATATTTACATTGACTAGAATACTATTAGTCTTCACATAAGGTTTGTGTAACTTAACATAGCTAACTGCAGCTAAGTAGTGAGGTGCTAGAACACATTTCAGCTGTACAATCAAGTGTATGACCAGGCACACAAAGAAGATGCCCCCTTAGCCCCTCCTCAATTAGCTACAGTTAGCCACTTACATTAACAGTGATAGGATTCCGGTCTTGAACTACTTTTTAAAACATCTGAATGGTGGAGACCACTAGTCTGTCATAGAAAAACACTCTCTATCCTTCCAGCTTGTCATAACCTCAACAGCCGCAACAGAGCACAAACTAGCCATAGCAGCATCCATCAACTTCTCAGCTATGCGCTATTTCTCTTCTACTCTTCATTTGATGAGGCCATACTCCCATAACTACCAAACTGTCTTTAACTGTTGCAGTTCCACCAGAAAAGGAGTGAAATTATCCCTCATTAAGACCCTGATTATTGACAAGGGAATGAATTTGAAATGACTGAACTCTGATCCATCGCTAAAGCTAACATACATCACTATTATAGGTTGGAGCCCACTGTGTTAAATGAAGTTCTTCATTGGACTATCATGAAAGGAACAAAGATGATTTTGTAAATCATTGCATTCATAGTAAATAGTGGGAAAAGATTGACTGTAAATAAGAAATCAGTGTTACAGATTTGGATTATGAGAATGCTAACTTCTGTTTCAAAGTCATTCTAGAGCAAAAGTAACATTCCATTATAAAATTTACTGACAGGATCCATCACCATGCAGCATTGCTCTGCTGAATTGTGAGGTCAGGATTCACAGCAAAATATACAGATTTTTTTAAATGCAGAAACAGACAATAGTTTGCTTCAGTGATTTTCTTCCTTCTTAAGAGATTAGCTTTAAATTGAATTTGGGAGGAAGCTTTCTATGTCTTGCAGTAGTTAACCTTCTGAAGTTGGGGGGGGGTGTCAAACCCAACAGCTGCCTAGAATATTTCTGCTTTTTTCTGTAAAGAAATACAAAGTATTTCATATACCATGCATTCTTCAACCATGATGCAGTCAGTTGCCCTGTAGTGCTTCACCTGCCTCTTTCTACAGCTTCCATATTTCACTTAAAGAGATTACAATTAACATACGCAACTATCAAAATGAATGGCAAGATGAAACTAGCCAATGTCTGTACTAACTGGGACCCTGTCTAACCCCAGTAACTTCTCTAAAAGAGTAGGAAAAATAAGATCAGATTAAAGTTGTTAATTTGCATCTTGGGAAGAGGAGGGAGATCTGTCAAAGCAAAGTGTACTGCTTATATACCACGCCCATATTGCTTAAGGCACTCTCTAGATGGTTTATATTTTAATTATGCAGACTACACATTGTTCCCCCACCCTCAGTAGGCTGAGTACTCAATTTACCAACCTCCAAAGGATGGAATTCTGAGTCAGCCTCAGCCTCGAATCCGTTAAGATTCGAACTCAGGTTGCGAGCAGAGTCACTGCACCACGAAGCTCATACATCTTGCACATGCTCATGTCAATGCTCATCCCAGCCCAGCCCTGTTTGTCAATAAATATTTTTTAAAGGCAAGGCCCTCTCCTTTCTGGGTTTGTCAATTGCGACCAACATGTGGATGTTCAAATAGTGTACTTTTGGACTGCAGCCCCCACGAATCCAACCAACATAAGCATGCTGTCTCTGGGATTCTGGGAGCGATAGTCCAAAAAAGTAACTGCTATAAACCCTGGCAGCATAAATGGCTAGAGACAGTCTGGAGAACAGGCCCCTTGTTCCTCGTATGGTGTTGCTGACTTCCATTTATTTCTTGGCTCTCAAGAAGCTAAGGTGGGTTCTTATACCTTACTTTTATTCATTTACTTAGTTTCTTAATAATAATGTGTGCCCTAAATTCAGACTTACGGTGACCTTTTTTTAAACAGTTTTCGAAGTGGAGAGCACTCCAATATGGTTCAGATTGCCATTCTCTTCTTCTGCAGGGGGGGGCATCCTGGGACTGTGCAGCTTGCCCAAGGCCACACAGGCTGGTTCTTCTAGGATGCAGAGTGGGGGACTGAACTCCCAACCTCTGGCTCCACAGCTGGATACCCAACTCATGGAGTTATCCAGCTAGTACTTAGCTGCTTACATATGTAGTTAATGCCCCACCTTTTCCCCAGAAAGGGGGCACAAGGTGGCTAACAAGATTAAATGGCTGATTAAAATCAAAAGCTGGATCAAAACATTTACATAAGAGCAAGTTTCTCAAAACACAATTGAAAAGGCAAGAATGAAAGACATTACCAGCAGCTTAACCCTGATTCAACTACATATGAGTTAGGCTTGCCTGAAAGAAAAGTCTTTTGTTGCCCGCTCGTGAAACTACCATGGAAGAGGAGCAAACTTGGCCTCCCGTTTTAAAGCTTAAAATGTCTAGTTTAAAGTAATAATATTAACGAAACGATGGCTTCTAGGGCAGTTTCTCCCCAACCCATTGTTGTGTTCCTGTGGTCAGTGCTGCATCCAGAGAGTAACGAGCTTTATTCAGGCATTCAGAAAATAATTAATTTGAAAGTTCAAGCAGGCTGTTTCTCCCCTCCCCCCCGCCGCCCCCCCTCGGCCTGGCCCTGTGCAAAGAAGGACAATCTGCAGACGAGGCAGTCTGTGACCCATGGACACTCTCCCCAGCATCAGGAACCTTTATTATTTTGGGTCCTCAGTCACATCGATAGATTCCATACCTAATAAAAGCTTCCCTCTACAGACAGCACATCTTCTTGTTACGGGGGGGCGGCGCAGAGCTGGAATCATTGCCCACAGTTTGGGAGTTTGATTCCCGGCTGTGCCTCCTTGACAAGGGTGACCATAGGGTTCCTTCTAGCTCTGCAGTTTCTAAAATTCCGTCAGCAGAATTGTTCTCATTACAATGCTCCTGTTCCATCCACTTCTTCACTTTTCAAAGCAACAAAGGTTCTCTTTCCAGGAAACAAAATAGTCTCTGGGAAAGCAATTAAGGCCACAATCCTATTCATACTCATCTTGGAGAAAGTCCAGTTGAGTACATGTGTGTAGGATTGCAGCATAAGAAAGCAGTAATGGAAAATAGTATTTCTGCCAGTTAAAGTGCTGAGTGGCAGGTTGAGATAAATTGTCAGCCCCCACAGCCCCAAGAAGCTTTAACCCATATCTCCTTCAGAAAACAAAATTGTTTTTTTTTCCTTTTCCGTGGTGAATCTTCTTTTCCATTGTTTACCTCCTTCAATCTGTATCACCTCAGCTGCCAACCTGCGGTCTTGCTAGTACATCACTTTCCCCTTAGCTCTACTGGTCAGATCCAATTTGTATGTCTGCTTGAGGTGAGCTGGCAAAACCCATGATCTGCCCAGTGCCTCCAAGCAGCAACCAAACTGTGTGTAACATTCATTGTTGTTGTTGTTTTTAAAGATATTGGAGGCTACTGCAAAATTATGGCCTGGAGCAGAATAGCCTGTCTGAATCCACGGAGATATTTCCCCAATAAAAGGGTTAACGCATGTAAACATGAAGTTACAAAAAACGAGCATCACATAGCATAAAACTATGGAAACAAAAGATAAGAGCCACCAGCACCGAGCTTGTCTTACAGAGCGCGGTTATCAAATACCATTTATAGTCTAATAAAAATGTACTACAATACGTTATAGTGACAGTGCAAAATAATTTTGTTTGCTTGCAATGGTAATCATACTCAGGTGGCATTTTATTTTTAACAGGAGAATAGTTGCTTTATTCATATTAAACATAGTAACTCTGAAATTGAATAAAACAAACAGATTTAACATGATTAAAACTGCTACCAAACATTTACCGTATTTTTCCATATATAAGATGTCCCTATGTATAAGACACCCCCCACTTTTCTAACCCAAAATTTCTTTCTTTACAAGAAAGTGGAGGGGGAAAGCAGGAATCGCTTTCCCCCTCTATTTTCTTTGCAAAACGTGGAGGGGGGAGAAGCAGGGATCAAAGTGCTTTGATCCCTCCCTCCTCCTTACTTCCGTGTATAAAAGAACCCTCAATTTTTCCTTTAATTATTTTAGGAAAATGTGTCGTTTTATACACAGAAAAATATGGTATTTTAAGGACCCTCAAAAGTGCAAGAGGTTAAAAGTAAGACATATTTGCATACATACCAAATAGCATCGAGTGGTGTCTAGTCAGTGGTTAATTACTAAGCACAGTCATTTTGTTTTACTTGTTGCCATAGAATTTATGGCTGTAATCCTGTTGGGTGAATTCTATCTGCATAATGACAGTGACATTATCATCAGTGACAGAATTCCACAGATTGAAGCTCCCATTTTTCATTTTAGGATGCACATAATTTCATCTCACTGCATGGGAGCTGTGTGCACCTTGAAATAAAAAGAACTCTTTAGGTGATCTCATTCGTGTTGCGCAAGTGGAGCTGCTCAATAGGATTTTGTCCTGTGAATTATATAAGGACTCTCTAGTTAATTGTCTTAGATGGCTTTGTGTATGATTTAGATCATGATAATGGCACTATTTTTGGAAATCATTCTGTGGTTTTTCCAGAATAAATACCAATCCTTCAAATGAGTATTCAATAATACAAACAAAATTATATTATGTAGGTTAAGTAGCATGTACCTGACTTGTCCTGTGGCTTGGCTCTGTTATTAACTACTCTCTGTTAGTGCATTTGTGTGTGCATTTGTGTGTGTGTGTTTTCTACCATGGTATGGTTTGTTTCAGCATTTCTAGTTTTACAAAATGCATTTTCTTAACCATTGACATGGTTACTATAGCTGCAATGCAGTACCAAACAAAGATGTCTCCAAGCACCTCAACTACAGGAAAATGCAGATGCTAAAAATGGGCTTGTTTTTTGACCTTTTCTGTGAGTGACATTAGTGCTGTTTATTTCTGCTTGCAGGCTATACAATTTGATCCAGAAATCCACCTGCCCACTGTTACCGACAGTTGTACAGGCTGCACTCTGTGTCTCAGTGTCTGCCCTATTATTGACTGCATCCGAATGGTTTCCAGGACAACACCTTATGAGCCAAAGAGAGGCCTGCCCTTAGCTGTGAACCCAGTGTGCTGAGGTGATCAGACCAGCAGTTAAAGTGAACCTTACATTTGCTTGATTCTATTGATTTGCTTTCTAATTAGTACCAGCAACTCCAATGGTGTTTTAAAAAGAAAAGAAAAATCATCTAATGATGGTAGCCATCCTAAAGTTGGCTCTATCTTCCAATCTATTTTTTTAAGTCTTCATACAAGCAGTGGTTAGTTTGTCATATGTTATCTGCCCTCATAAAAATGTAACTTTTTTTTCTTTCGCAAATTTTCAATACTTCCTGATGATTTTGGTGATTTCTATTCCTATTCCCTGAAACAATCTATAAAATTAGGGGAGCTTTTCCTAACTAACTAAACCTCAACATGAACACATACTTTGTTACCAGGGAAACATTTAGTAATTACACATTTCATCTCCTTTTAAAACTGTTTTTAGAAGATGTAATTAACTACACAGACACACAAACAAAGCAACGTGGCTTGTTTGTGTGTGTGTGTGTGTGTGTGTTTGCATAAAGATATAAAAAGAGACTTAAATGGGTATCTCTGAACTATTAATCAGTTTCAACAGCTGCAGCATATGGCAGTCTATTACCTTAATTCTCCTTAAATTCTACCTCTGACTAGGCATTAAATACTAAAGTTGCAAATGCACTGCATTCTTTGCCATTTAATGTTTTTCAGTTGGTTACTTGATCTCTTTGTTTCTGTTAACGAATCTTCAGAGTGTGCCTTTTAATTGTATTATTTCAAATGTAAACCTTAGCTCAAGAATCTGATTTATTGTAAGTTGCTCTTGCATTCGTTTACTGTTGGGGATATGAAGTTACAGTTCTGTTGCATAAGTTGCCTTCCACACCCCCACCCCCTTGCCTATTTAGTCTGGGTTATCTCCAGAGTAGGCTCACAGTACTGACTAGCACCAGTGATGGGGCACGGAAACATCAGCATCTCTTATTTCCACGGGTCTATGACTATATGCAGATTTTTTTTCCAGCCACACAGATGTTCTGTATATATCTGATATACTGTGCACACTTGGAATGTGTGCATAAAAATGCAGACATTTGAAATGCACAGTAAAACATGGCACAAGCATGGCTTTTTTGTCCAAGGTTAGAAATCCACATAAATCATGCATAAGAGTTGAAAAATGAACACGAAAATGCCCATTTCCCAAAATTATGTCAAGAACAGAAACAGATTTTGGCTGTTTAAAAAAAGAAAAAAAATGGAAGCAGGCATAGACATGGGTGTGGAGAAACAAGTTCATGGATGTGGATGTAACAGACGTGTACACCCGAGATGGAGGCAAATAACCCCAGAAGCTTCTAGTGGTCCATCCTCTTTCCAACACTGCTAAGTATGCAGACTCTGTGCTGGGTGTACGGATTAGCTCCAGTGGGAGCTTCACTGTCTTCAGACTGTTGCTCTTGCCTGATGAAAGCAACTAGGGAGAAGGTGGGGCTGGCATGCTCATCTCATCACATGTGGAGTAGACACACTTATGGAACACCGGGGTAGGGCTCCTGTCTAAATGTTATGCATAGGCTGCACACTGAAGGCTTGGATAGGAGCCGACCATTGTGGAAAATTAAATGGGAGGCAAGAGGCCTTCAGAGGCAGCTAATTGACCAGGACAAGAAGTGTGCCTTAACCCCCCTGACTGGTCACTGCTTTACATTATTACAGGTGATGCAGCATGTTATTTACCTCTAGGAGTAGCACACCCAGACAGAAGCTACCAACAGGAGGATAAGCCTCACTAAAAAGCTTTTGGAGATTCTTACTATACACATTTAGAGTGGCGAGCCCTACCTGCAGCCAGCAAAAGAAATAATTGTGAATTGTATTTGATATTAATAATCTGCCAGTGGAATGGAAAACACTGGAAGAATTGATTCCCACTTCATGTCCCAAGGCTGCTCTGGAGGATTGGGGGACCCTGTGGAAACAGTCTGGTGGTCATTCAGGGACATGCAAGGCAAGGGGAAGTCCACTGGCACACGGAAGAATCCAGTTGTGTGGGAGACATTTTAATATAGTACATGGAAAATATTTATTAACTATATGTTTTACTGTAAACAAATACACAACGAATTCTGATTTTAAAGTTTGAGGCAAGGAGTTGTCACCATGTAATTGCCATCTGTTAGATAGGGATATGTTTTATTTCTGAATTTTTATCCCACAGAAATAGAACACATTCCTTTAAAACATATGGCAGTAATATGCCGACAACTATTTGCCTCAGATTTTTAAATCTAAATCAGCCCTGTGTTTGTTTATAGTAAAACTCTAATAAAAGAAAGTTATGGATTTCCCACTATTCTGGAACAGCATGTTAGCATCAACTTATTTCTCATTCTCAGTTGGGAGTTTTCATATGCCAGTATTTTGTTAGCCGCTTTATGCTAGAGAAACCACAAGCAAGCCTTATGTTGCTCAATATTTAGAACAGCAAATAACATATATATTCATTTCTTTATACTCTCTGTCATCAGCTGAAAATGCAGTATTGTGATTGTGCATATTAAATAATCTTTACATTCAAATTTCTGTACATTTACATAGCCATAAATAAAGAGCAATTAAGGAGCATTACGCAACCTGGTTTTATATGTGTTCCTCAAAATTACTTTTTTTTCGCATGGCAATTTTCATTTGCTATTTAATAGTCTTCTACAGTCTCCAGAATATAACTACTGGTTTATGACAACATATTCTCAAAATACTCCAACTGGTAAATTTGGATTTGTGGCATAAGCTGCTGGCAAATGAGATAAAACAAAGGTGTGACATGCTCATTTTTCTAGCCATCTAACAGGTTTTGTGGACTTTGTAAAAATGGGCAAAACCTAGTCATTTAAAATACACAGTCAGATGTTTAAGCATTGGCAACCATTGTCCTATCATTACATTTTCCATGATCCAAAACACATGTGTGCCTATAGCCAAATCCAGATCTTATTTACGTATGCAAAAACAATCAACAACAGTTCTCTTTCGTCCTTCTGAGGAACTCTTAGTCTACCAAAAAGCAAGATTTTTAAAAGGGGGGGGGGAATAGAATAGTATCTGTGGATTGTTTAGATTCTAAGACCACTGTCCATAGTTAGTTGGAACATCTTTCATATTTTTGGTGCCATGAGTTGTTTTCCACAAGAAATCAAATCCCAACATATAGCAACAAATGTCATAGAAATAACATATGAAAGATGATGTCTTCACCTTTTTGATAGAAGGCATATTGATTACTTCACTCTGCCAGGCAACAGAGATATGGTGCAATCTGCATCATCATCAGCTGCATGTCACTTGGCAGTAAGATTACTTAAGAGAGGTTTCCTCCCATACTTAATGATTAAGTCAATATCACTAGAGCTTCACATGATTTTATTGTGGTTGTAAGCAGCCACTTAGGTGGCTTCCTCTTTTTGCTTTGTTGATGCTGTCCACAGTTTTACTTGATGCACCTATTCAGGCATTTTAAAAAGGATTAATTTGAAAATGTAAGCAGGAAGAGAGTGCTTGCTCTGCCCGCTGCCAGCTGCTTCCTCCGTGGGAGGATAGACTATCTGAAGAGTGAAGCTTCAGGAGCCATATGACTTGGGGATCCTGAAAAACCAGGGACCATGATAGCATGACGAGCCTTCATGTATAGCAGACTGTCCTTTAGCTATGACAGGAAGAAGGTGGGACTACCACTCTTTTCTTGCTTATGCTTTCAAATTAACATATTTCTTTTTGAGCTTTTGAATGGGGCTTATTTAAAGGCAGCAATCCTAAATTTAACAACAACAATCTTAGAACTGCAAAACTGGAAGGCACCCTATGGATCATCGGGTCCTGTCCCTATCAAAGAGGCACAGTGGGGAATCAAACTCCCAATCTAGCCACTGAGCTATTCCGCAGTTCTAGAACCTGGGCAGTTTAAACATGGGCTAATAATATATCTATGCCCATTCACGTACACACACAGTTGGCTGTGTCATGTGGGAAGGCTAACGTCATAACTCCATAGTTCTAAATTTGGATAATTCTTTGAGTAATCAAATCTCTGTTTGAATGAAACGCAAAATAATTCGTAAGTGAAAATATAAAAGAAAAAGTATAAAGCCTCTGTTGGTGCAAAGAGGGAATTTGATTGCCGACTCTATACTGTTGAAATGGCAGATACAGACAACTAAGCGGCTACATAGTGGCTGTTATGTAATTAGTACCTGTTGCGTAACTAAGTGGGTGTTAATGGCAGTGATGTCATCAGCCTACAAAGTTGCTATTTAATTGAATTTAAAGCTCCTGTCCCCCCTAGCCTTGGGTTCTGAGGCTCTCTAGGGATCCCTTTTGACCTGGGGAAGCCTGTGGGATAGGAGGATTTTAATATCTGAAAATCACTGCCAGACCATTGTTGGGGGGATCAGAACTGCTCCCAAGTGACTCAGCAGTTAGAATAATAAAAGTTTCCACCAATTCTCTCCGAAGGCTCTGCTTTCTCTTTGGGGAAGAAGAAAATGGACTGACATAGTATTTTGTACAGGGAATACATCCCACAAACTAACATTTTCAATGAATAAAACTGTTAATGCTACTTTTAAAAAAATGTTATTTTCAAACATTTGATTGTGAGGGCCCATTTCTGACACTCATCCAAAAAATTAACAAATTTCACAGTTACACATTAATGATTGATCCAACTGGTAATGGCATCTGCTGGCATAAACGTAGCATAAATGTAGTCTAGCTTCTAATCTGATCTAGAAAATGAAAACACCACATTTAATACAGTCACAATTAAGTGGAATACTTAACCATTTAAGTTTTAAAAAAACACCAAGAGAAAACAATATTTTCTATGTCATGAATTTGATTATGAAAATTGTAAAAGTAGAATAGAGATGGATTTTGTTTCATAACAGCAACGAAACAACTAGAAGCTGACTGATGTCCAGGTGTTAATTAGGAAGAAAAAATTGTACAAGGTCATTTCTTTTTCCAGCAGAAGAAAAAAAAATAAAAGAAGAACAAGATGACCCTTATCTTATCAAAACTCCAACGGACAAGGACACAACGGCTTAATTTAAGAAAGATGGGTGAAGAGAGAGAAGAAGGACGGAGAAGAGAGATGGGACAGAGTTTGCTTGCACGACAGCCAGAGACGACACACGGAGAGAGATGCATCTGGCAGAACTTTAATTTGGAGACTGC